GGAGGAAACGTAGGGGGTTGAAGTGTTAGGAAGGGATTGCATGGTGGCTGTTCTTGTCAGTATTGAAAGCTAGCATCTGAGACCAGGTGGAATCAGTAATCTGTAAAGGTTCACATAGTAAATATTTTAGGCTTTGTGGCCTTTGTGTTCTTTGTTGCAAGTACTCAACTTTGCCATTGTGTGTGAAAGCTGCCATGGACACTACGTAAAGACTGAGTGTGGCTGTGGTCCAGTAGACCTTCATCTGCAAAACGGCTGGCTGTAGTTTGCTGACCCATGTTGTTGGTAGTTCATAAAATACATCTCTGTTTTGGTTGGTGAAGAAAGTATCGGGTGAGTCTGGAAAGCCTAGTGTACTGAGTTTATTTAAGGTTCATGGTATTTTCCAGCAGCTTCAGGTGGACAGAAGTAAGTGAAATGGAACAAGGCAAACAAGTTTGATATCTCCCTGAGCTATTTTAGGTGGAAGAATTTCCTTTTACAACAGTTTTTGAAACACTGGGAAAAGCAGGTCTAGAACTGATTGGGGTCACCAAGAGCCAGAATCCTTTAAGGAGTTGCAGGCCTAGACTATGTCTCTGTGTTTCACTGCCAAGTCCACACACCATGAGAGAGAACCCAGCGCGTAACCCTCTAGGAAACCCTTGTTTAGGAGAGGAAGCACCTTCAGTTCAGTTCCCACGTTGGTCTCTAACCTGTCCTCCCTACTGCCTTCATCTTGGGGCCTCTAGGTGGAGAGACTCCCTTTTTTGACTTAAGTCTTTCTTGCAGGAACAGTCCCCAAAGAAATTTGTAGGAAGTTACGTAGTTTTAACTCTCAAGAAAAGCATATGTTTATTGATATTGTTTGCCTCAGTGTTAATGACTGTGGCTTGTAAGATAATTTTGCTGGGGAAATGTGTAACTGTAATGGCGATGATTTACAGGGCTAGAGCTGCCTGCGATGCTTTCTTGAAATGTTTAAGCCAGGCTGATATTTAGAGCTGGCTCACTTGTGGGTTTGATGTGTTATAAAAGGATATGCATTAACGTGTCACCATGGGATGGAAGGTACGTCTGCTGAAAATCTTTGTTCTGTGAGCATCTGAGGAGTGACTGCTGGACAAATGTTACCGTCCACAAGGTACCTGTGGTGAATCTGATTTAGACTTTTTCTCCAGCAGAACCAAGAACAGAATTCCAGTCCTGTCTCTCCTGCCCGTTGACTTTTTCCAGTCCAGAGTTCCTCAGTCAACATGTTCTATGCAGTCACTCCCCTCAGATCTTCCCAGATGCATGTGCAGCAAGCCACTTCTTCTTCGAAGCTCCAAGCTGCTTGAATGACAAAGCAGAAGATGGTGAGAGAGAAAGCTCTGGCACTGTATTTGGGAGGCTGCAGCTGAGCAGGACTTCGAGAGCATTCTTAATCCCATCTCAAGGTCAGACAGTAGACCAGGAATGCAACAGTGGTGGAGGAATAGAGCGGGGCATGTGCCCTGAGGAGGCAGACACAGTGTTGACAGAGGCAGACATCTCAGAATCTGGAGCAGTCATATGTGAAAAATTCAGACTAGGACTTAGCCTGGAGTCAAGCCTCGTTACTCTCCCGAAGCATCATGTGTGTCCTGAATGTGGCAGAAGCTTCTGCCAGAGGTCAGACCTCATCAAGCACCAAAGAACCCACACAGGGGAGAAGCCATATAGTTGTCAAGAGTGTGGACAAGGCTTTGGCCGGAAGTCCTCTCTAACCATACACCAGAGGAAACACTCAGGGGAGAAGCCCTACACGTGCAGGGAGTGTGGGCGGCACTTCAGGTACACGTCCTCCCTAACGAACCATAAGAGGATACACTCTGGGGAGAGACCCTTTTTATGTCAGGAGTGTGGGCGAAGCTTTCGCCAGAAGATTGCCCTCATCCTACACCAGAGGACACACTTGGAGGAGAAGCCCTTTGTGTGTCCAGAGTGTGGAAGAGGCTTTTGCCAGAAGGCATCACTCCTCCAACACCGTAGCTCACATTCAGGTGAGAGGCCCTTCCTGTGCCTGGAGTGTGGGCGTGGCTTCAGGCAACAGTCACTGCTCATCAGTCATCAGGTCACACACTCTGGGGAGAAGCCTTATGTCTGTGCTGAGTGTGGGCACAGGTTTTGCCAGAAGGTCACCCTCATCAGACACCAGAGGACACACACTGGGGAGAAGCCTTACCTGTGCTCTGAGTGTGGGCGTGGCTTTAGCCAGAAAGTCTCCCTCATGGGCCACCAGAGGACACACACAGGGGAGAAGCCTTATGTGTGCCCTGAGTGTGGGCGTGGCTTTGGTCAGAAGGTCACCCTCATCAGACATCAGAGGACGCACACAGGGGCGAGGCCTTACCTGTGCTCTGAGTGTGGACGTACTTTTGGCTTCAAGTCACTCCTCACCAGACACCAGAGGACACACTCAGGAGAGGAGGCTGAGGTGTATAAAGCCTGTGAGCAAAGACTTGGTCAGAAGACCCACCTCACTTCTGACCAGAGGACATACTCAGGAGAAAAGCCATGTGTGTGTGAAGAGTGTGGACGTGGCTTTGGCTTCAAGTCAGCCCTGATCAGACACCAGCGGACCCATTCGGGAGAGAAGCCATACGTGTGCCGGGAGTGCGGCCGCGGCTTTAGCCAGAAGTCTCACCTCCAGAGACATCGGAGGACCAAGTCTGGCCATTACCTCCTGGCACAAGAGCTATTCTGACATTGCCTTTCCTTTCCCTGTGAGTGTGAAGATGGCAGAAATCACTAGGAAATGTTCTGCTTTCCTGAAATAGAGAAAAAAAATTTTGCTTTTTCTTTCAGTGTTTATTAGACAGTTGGTCTATCATTTACTTTCTTAGCAGCAATCCTCTGTATGGACTTTTGTTTTAATAAACTGCTTCTTTACAAACTTGCACACCTAGTTGTGTACCTCATTCGCTCATCTGTCAAGAACCCCAAGGTATTCAACCTCTAGGGAGACAAGAGAGAATCACTGTATATTTTGTTCTAGACCATAGTTTCTCACTTTCTGTAATCTCCAGAGCCTTGTAAATACCCAATCTGTGACTTGGCTGTGTCCCCTTACCTTGGGCACTGAATGGTCTCTACAAGATAATTTTCCCCAGGTCCAGATACTTTGCTGGCTTAAAATCTAGAGGCAATAAAAAATTAATAAAGTTTAGTGTACAAAATTTTTTTAAATTTACATGGTGAAAAATACCATAAGTGATACCAAAAGACAAGTAATT